GATGAAATGAAATCACTAAAGCACACGCTGCGACTCGTCTGCTGATCCCTGCCTTCTTGCCGCGTGACGGTCCTCCTGTCGAGTACCCAAATAACGTTAAGCGGTAAGTATTGCATCATCTAGACGAGGGACCAGCTGCGACTGTGAAAAGGTATGATAAAAGCAAAAGGCTACTTGTAATAAGGAGGATAAGTACCAAAAAATTCCCATCATTATGAGGAATTCGTATAGTACAATTGGATCCAATAAGACACTTACACTGGAACTTCGTTGGCATGCCGGGCAGAGAGTCAAATCGATTCAGCGACATGTTAACTTCCTCTGATGTTTCTCTTCCTTCGTTTAGTCGTGGAACGTAGCTCGTCTGAAAGTGGCTTCGGAGCAAATATTGCATACAAGTTCTTGAGCACACTCAACTATTGCAAACTAGTTTCTGGTAGAACAGTAGCACACACTATCTACACACGCTACGTACACTTACTCGGCGACCATGGGAGAGTAGCCTATAATCATTGTCACTCTTTACTGACTTCATTTATTGGACGTCGTATGGAGACTTGGCATACTATGTCAGCTTGAGAATGCATAACAATAACAAAACTTTCCGTTTCTACTTAACTATCCATCCATTATATTAATCTGTTCTGAGGCTTATAACTCGCGAAGAGTAACAGCGGTACCTACATGAAAAGTCGAATTAATGCCTTACTAATAATATCAGCCTAACCGCAAAGCCAACAGGTCGCTTCAGCTACTTGAAACATTGTTAGTTGAAGAAACCTCGGGTCCACTCATGATTCGCTGCGGGAACCTCGGGTCCACTGATGATCAGCGGTGGACCTGAGGTTCCCGCAGCGGAAAACGAAAAAAGTCACTTTACCTCCTAGTGAACCACAGAACCAATTAGAAAAAAATGCAAATAAAACTGAATACAGTTACGAAAACCGTTAAAAGTCGATGAAAATGAGACAAAAATCACCTTTATGTCATTCTCGCTGCAGTTGGGTGGTAGGCGTCCAAACCAAAGTGTCTTCGAGGCAACTGCAACACAACAAATAGTGAAAATTGAGATGACAGACGAAGAAAAATTATAACAAAAACATAGATAAGTACAAATCAGGATATAAAAACGAAAACCAAAAAGAACATTAGCAAGCGTTTCACTCAAACCTACTTGTGGTCAAACCCTCCTGAATAGCAGGTAATCCCAGTTTTCTCCGTTCACGATCCACCTTTTCGGGTTTCCGATCTCTTGACCTGAACATAACAAATATAATTCCAAACTATGACAAAACATCACGAAGTCACTCTTATGGTTGCCCCTATCTCGTGATCGACTGCGCTTACGATCTCTCCTACGACCGTCTTTGTCGCTCTGAATTAGAAGTAAAAATATTCAACTGTTCACATGGTTCTTCGAAATAGGATTGAATTGGACAGTAGTACCCGCACCAAATTTCACCCACCTCACTGTCATCTGTCATCATTGGAACTGGCGCCGTCGGCAACGGTCCAAGCAGCTGTCCTGGTGCAGCGCCAAGAAGACCTATTGTGGATGGTGGGGGGACACCACCCAAACCTGAATTTCCACCGCCTGCCGCGAGCTGTTGAAGTATCTCCTATAATGAACCCTTCAAGATTCATTAAACTGCAACCCGGTAAAGCAGAAGTTAGACATTAATCAAGTATTCTATCAACAAGCGTTATAGGGTTTCTTTGGTACCGCTTCTGGCGAAAGAGTAACCACATACCTGTTGTTTGGCCAGTTGAGCCGGATCAAATCCTCCAGCTAAAGAGACTGGTGGACGGGCATGAGCGAATTGTAGGTTAGATAACGCACCGATTTTCGAAGCCTGAGAAACGTTATAGGAGAGAAATTATATTATGGTTACAAACTATTTCACTTACTAAAGAATTGTTCGCTAGAAGATTCAGCAGAGCTTGGTTAGGTTGCGTTGCATTTGCCTGATTAAGAGCAGATAGCTGCGCTAGATTCAGCGAAGGAAGTCCAGCTAAACCTTGGAGACCGGGCAAACTCTGCAGCCCTGGTAAGCCAGCAAGGTTAGGTAACCCAGCCTGGAATAGGCTAACGTCCATAAACTAAAAGATTACATTGCAAAAAATATTGGAAAACGACGTACGGGAATGGCTTGTGCAGCAATCTAAAGAAAGAAAACACTGGTTTCCATAAATGCAGCACGAAGTACTTCTCTAGCAATAAGTGGTGCGAAATAAGAGGGTTCTAAATTACTTACTCCATTATACGTTACCTGGTTTAGGGCAACAATTCTTTCCGCATGCATCCGTTTGAACGCGGCGATTACATTCGGATCTTCTATCAAGTTTCTTGCTATGCTGCAAAAGAACCATACAGGGGAACAAATCGTTAAACAAATTAAGTTCAGTACATGAAAAAATATTCACTTCCGAAAGAAAACTGGTGGTCGCTAATTCTCGAAGAAAAGAAATAGTATTCAAATATAAAACACCAGTTTTGCTTCGCCCGCTATCGCGCGCATCACACGGCAGGCTTTAGCGAAACTGGAGGACCCATGGAATATCAGCATGAGATACTCCATTAACCATCTCACTATTGACTGTGTTAGACCCTCCACAGTTTCACTGAAGCTCATCGAGAATACGCGTGATAACGTCTGAGCTGAACTGGTATATTGTCCACACTATGAAAACAAAATGATACAGCGAATCCATCATAAGAAAAACTTACCGTGCAAAAAATCATTTCTTGCACTTGATTTTCGGAAGCGTTCTCGTCCACAGGTATTGGAAAATTCATAGCAAAAACTCCTGAAATTACTTGCTTTCAGCCCGTCAAAAAACCACTTGTCTGGGTGAACTGCCTAGAGCCTAGAGTTTGTTTGGCATCAAGCGCTACTATGCGTTCTTGAAAACGCAATATCTCATTCCCTCATAATTTTGACCTGCCGTGTAAAGTCGTGTATAATCTACTTGAGGTTAGTATACACAAAATTATCGACAGACACCTAGCCACCAGTGGATAAAATAGAATGGCGAAACCTGAACTTCCATAGAGCCTGTGAGTTTGTAAGCCTATAGCTATTTACACTCCTGCCTTGCGGCAACTACGCAAAATGCAAACGCTTGAAAATCATCTGAAAATAGCTGACATCTTGAGAAACAAAACTAACCAGTAGCCACAGGATCAAAATCCAACGTGACCACTCCATTAGGAGCTTTCAGCATGCTTGTTCAATATTCGTACTAAACGCAGCGACTAACAAACGATTCGATCGAGCGAATTGTTTTGTTGCCATTTTCGAAAATCAAATGAAGATGCCGTTCGTTCTGTAAAAACGTAAAATTTGATTACTGATAAATTCCAATTGCTCTCATAACGTTTTCAGAGAGGGGACATGCGAAAATCAAACTGCAAGTTCCATGTGCACTGCTTTGATTTGTCTAACATTCGATTTGTTTCGAAAATGTATGCTCGCATTTCCAATGTGAGGTTTACTCGGAACTGACAATCGGTAGCACTTCCAATCCACACGAGCAAATTTGCTCTGTGTAATTGATTGTTGTAATTCCTGTTTGGCAGTAATCTTTGAGTCTCTGCGCGGTGTAACCGAGAAAGGCAGACATCGGCGACAGGTAAAAAACAGGTGGTTTGAGACACTCACGAAGTGAGAATCAGTCAAGTTATTGGTGGGAAGGGACCATGTTAAAATTGAACAATGATAAACCGTTGGCAGTTTTGGACATAGCCTAGAGTGGGCGACTAGGTTGGCCGTGCTCTCGCGGGGTATCTCGAACAGATTTGGAGAAATACAGTTTAATGCAGCTTCAAAGCTCAACACACTTTGATTCGACTGCCTTACATTCCTATGGCGTAAATACTATTTAAAGCAAGACGAAAGCTGGAATTGTTCAAAACTCTTCAACATGCCTAGGCAAGAACTTAAATTCATGGCGGCCGTTTACCAAACCTCATCAACCCTGCTTTCGGTCTTCTGTTTCATACACGAGCCATGTCAATTTTCACCACTGTCTCCCCCGGCGCTTTTATAGTCGGTCATCCAGCGCAACGATCGTTGCGCAACGATGGCAGACCATGAAAACGTCCATAGGCGCCGAGATCATTGAGTCCAGATTGAATTTCGAGGGAACTTGTAAAAGTGCTTTTGTAAGTAATACCGCTATACTAAAGATTCATCACATAGGAAGCCCTGGTATTTTTTCTGGAGAAATAGTGCGGACCAAATGAAAATCCTTTCACCACTTCCTGTGGGATTCTAGTTATTGAAGTTCTCGATAAACAAAGCTAGGAACGCATCCTGAGTGGGGCATGAATAACTGTTCCACGCCATCAATGAAATCGGCGTCAGAAAATTTAGAAAAGTTCAACTGCAAGGCCAAATGAAAGAATAAAGATTTCTTTCTATAACGTCCCTCCCATTATTTTTCAAAAACCAAGTTATGTAGTTCACATCTTTTTACATTGGTTATATAACTTTATCCGAAAAGAGAAAAACGGATTGATTTCGAGGGGAAAACCTCACACGCAAAAGCATAGCATAGCAAACGCTCATTTCCTCGGTCCACAATCACAAATTACATTTCAAAGAAGAATTGATGGATAAAACGGGGCTATAAGTATTATATCAGGGAGCGACTATATTATATGGAAGTTGATTACAAGAAAGGGTCACATGTCCAACTACGGTAAAAACTGCGAAAGTGCGGCGGTGTGCAGCTCTATACAAAAGCTAACAGACGGATTTTAACCACATCTACCAGCCAGTTGTATGCAAAAAAAATTAAA